GTCGCATTCCAATCTGTGTATGATTAAAAGTTGTGTTTGTTCTACTCTTGTTCAGTGTCATCGTATAATGGCGAGAAAATGAGACGAATTTCAACTACATTGTGTGAAGGAAATCTAGGATGAACAAAGATATTTTGATTAAGAATCTGAAAATCGAATTCGAAACCTCCACAAAAAGAAATACGAAACTAAAAACATCTCTCAGAATATTATATGGACATGAACTAAAGAGGGAAATAAATATGACACATTAAACAATATAAATTTAAAAATTAAATGCAATGACGCAATATAATCTTACATAAAAAAAATATTAAACTGTAAGTTTTTTTTAAAATTGTAAGAAAAAATATATATTAATTTTTTAAATTGAATTAATGATCATTTCTTTCTAAAGCAAAGAACGAAGGAAGATCTAGATCATTTTACTCTAAGGTTTCTTAAACTTTCTCTCTTGATGTTGTTTAGTATAACTTTGACAGCATATATATGAAATGTCAGATAGATGGTACGCGGTATTAGCAAAGAAATAACTCTACTTACTTTAGAATTAATTACCATTTCCAGAATCCGTTCAGAGCTTTCTATCGAATTAACGATCAGAATACTTTGTAGTATGAACTCTAAGGTACCTTTACATTTCGTTGGGCTAAAAGGATTTAGAGCTAATTTGTATGATTAGAAAAACATCAAAGTTAGAGATCAAATCTATTCGAGGAAAAGCGAATCACTAGGCCACAATAAAGTGTACCACAGTTTTGAGATAGTAAATATTTCTGAACACAGTCTGTTACAATTTCGTTAAGGGACACCCCGAAGATAAAGTCATATATAATCATCAAATTAATAAAACTGAATCTGTAGATAGACGTTTGTGTTAAAATAGAGATCATATGAAGCAATGATATTTATCAGCAATTCAAATTTAGTAGCATCAAATCACAGATATTCCTTCAATATCTTCCTTGATTAAAAGAAAATAAAACCAGTAAACATCGTCTCTTTTTAAAGAGAATTACCAAAATATTAATTGGATGTTATATAATTGGTATAGATATTTATGTCATTGACTTAATTGTGTTCAATTCAGTCTTAAGTATGATCGGCCACTTAAAGAAAGAAATACAAAACAACACAGTAATCCAAACATCATCTAACACTTGGCTATTTAACGCAACTAAGAGATTTACTAGACAAATAAAATATTTTTTATATGCTGTGGCATGGAAAGACTGAAAAAAAAAAGTGCACTAAAAATGTACTTAAATTAGGAGTCATTAATGGAAGACCATCTGGGTTGTTATGGAAAAGGGAGGAGGGAAACGAAATTTTATTGTTTGAAAATGCAAAATTTGACAGCACTCACTTTGACATTGTTTGAATATATATCACATGCCTACAACTGCAGCATGTATAACAGTTGAATAACTAAATGAACTTTAATGGTATTCATGCAATAGAAAAAGAACCTATAACCCTGAACTGAATTGATACGTGTTTTTTCTTATTCTTTGAAAAGAGAGTTTTTTTCATGTTTAGTTCTGTGTACCTAATTTGATGCCTATATTATTATACATTCAGCTAAATGAAAGCTCTCAAAAATTCGCTGACTATAGTAATTTTCATAAATAAGAGTACTTCTGGAGTATTCAAATATTCGAAGAATATGAGTGAACAAATATTCCATTCTTTATTGACAAGCTTCATCCACAGTCTATAACTATTTAAAAAAAAAAGACATCAAGATTCTGCTATACAAAAGAACTCGTTGTAACCTTGAAATCCCAGATGATGCAAAAGCACTCACTACCTTGCAAAGATAGCATAACTCATGCTCACATGATTAAAGTAATAATATACCTTAATCTAGCTCTGCACCTGTCCTTAATTTCCCTCGAGTCAAGATAAAAAGTGAACCATTCTTAATAAGATAGCTTTTGTATACATCGGCTTCAATTATTTCTGCCTTCTTCATACTCATTGTCTGTAAACAAGACGAGGTTTTGAGTGCATTTGCGTGCTTTTAAAGTATAATGAAATATCGGATGCCAAGAATAGAATATTTGGTCTCAATTTACTTCACTAAGCTGGCTGTTACGGATAATTAAAATACTGGAGAGTGTTCGATTGATTGAATGTTTTAGGTTTACGTCCAGGGAAGTTTTTCATTCATTTCTTTACAGAAGCACCAAATTTTATCTATGCTAGGGATTGAAATAAAAGAATTGAAAAAAGTTTTTATATGCCAGCGCCTGCTGCGACAAGGTACTTCTGATTTTATGTTCCAGTTCGACTCATATTTCACTTTTTATTATTATTGAGTGACTACTTATAACGCATTTAAGTCATAATACATTTATCAAAGCCTAAAGCGATATGCTCAGTAATTCTGTATATCTTTGACGATGGGATTAAAGCTAAAAATATAGCTGATATTTGTAAAAATGTATTTTGGAAGTACATGTACATTGCCCGAAAAAGGATTTCATTAATAAATCATTGCTGTAAATGTTTTATATTTAGCATGTACGATTTTTGGCGGAAATGATTTTTGGACAAGTTAGCGTAGATTTGATTTAGCACAGTTCTTAATATGTGCAACACAGTTAGCGTTGTACTTGAATTAGTGGAAGTTGCTTTCCGCCAAAGGCGCTAAAAAGAATACATAGCAAAATGTAATACGTTTACTGCATATTAATCATTGAAAACTCTTTTTTTTTTTTACTCTAATGTAGTAGATTCATTTGAAAATTTGACTCAATTCTATTCTAGGACATTGGAGTGGTTTTCAGTGCTTTTAAGACTTGAATTTATTTCTATAAATAATGCACTGCCCTTGCTTACACTTGTATATTGTTTTGATTTAGACGACATGGTCAAACTGCATTTTATTAAATTAATTTCCCTGTCCCCAGAGAGATTATTTGCTTAAAGAAAAAAAACAGTTTTTGAATAAAATAACTTAAAAGAACTCGCATATTATACCACTCAGTTGCTCATGTAGTTGCTGTTTCGATTTGTCACTTGTTTTATTTATCGTCTGTTAGAAATGACAAAATCCTTCGTACAATGTCAAGTGACCATGACAAAAACAAATCGCAAACCTCCAAAAGAAGATGTGCATCCCATTTCCTATTCAAAAGGTCGGATCTCCGAGGTACTAATAATTTGTTTGCACGAAGTCGCAAGGACCTGATTTTGATAACCTTGACAGAATTATCCTATAAGAAAGGAAGAACAGATTCCTTCTCTTACATTTATTACAGCAAATATTTAGATTTTACAATAACGTACATATAAAAAGACAAAGTGAATTCCATGTGAATGTCAAATTATCCCTACATTTAATTTCTTATGCATTATAAGTAACTCCTTCATATTACTAGTAGCAATACTATTATAAAATATTAACGTGATTCTCTACTGATTGACTTTAAAATTTTCCAGGAAAATCATCTGATGCTACATACAATAAACATGTACAAGGACGAAAACGTGAAGAAAACGATGAGTTATCAATCCCATAATTCATGAAAACAATGCAAATCGTTAAAATACGACCACACGATAGGTTGCAATTGCAAACAAGGTCATTATAAAGTCACTTTGGAATTTTCTGGCATCAGATCGTTATTAGGGAGAAAAAGATCGAAATGAATGACTACAGCTTCAACTTAAAAAAAAAACCAAAAAACAAATACGCCCAAATATTCATGCAAAAAAAGTTCAATGAACAAGCTACTTCGATATTTGTAATGCAGTGAGATATCATATCATTCACATTCCTTATCCATACGTTTGTCGAAGAGAAAAAAGAAACAAATTGCTTATTTGTACAAGTGTAAGAACATTTAAAGTGCATAAATACATTATAAACAGACTATTTGACATAAAAATATATTATATTTCTATTATTAAATGAATTTGATATGCAAAAGAAGCACAGAGTTAATAATAGTTTTCTTTTATCCAGGATTGCTGCTTATATTACATTTTATACAAATGAATGTAATTTTCTGATTGCTAGAGTATTCTATCAGATAGCCGAAAAAGAAGATTACAGTATTGAAAATCAATTGTCTCCCTTGCCTCATTAGTTAAATACGAAACTTAAATATCTTCTATTTGTACAGACAGCACGTTTCAACGCATCAGTTATCCATTATTTTCCCAAGCTTGACCTTTGCAGTCATGGCAAGGATACAGAAATGATAGAAATGTGAAATACAATCTGATAGGGCTAATAAATCGCATCAAAACGGCACCAAACATAAAGCCTGGATTGAACTCGGAAGGTAGGAAATGAAATAAAGCTTAATAACTACCGATACTATATCTTAGGTGTCTGGAGAGTATATGAAATAGATACAATTTACCAGAAAATTAGTTTTTCTCCGCCGAAATGCGTCGACAGAAAGATATTTTTAGATAAAGATTTAGTCAGAAAGATATTTGTGTTCTTTATGAAGATATAGTTCATATTCAGGTTAGGATTATCAAAGTTCTGATAAAAGTACATGTGTTTAAAAAAATATTTGAAATTTGGACATGAATACGTTGAAGACAATATTCAGGATAGGATAATCAAAGTTCTGATTAAAATAAATGTACGTTAGAAACATTTTAAAATTTTAAATTCAGACTTCAATAAGATAAAGACATTAAATTAGAATTATGTAGCCTTACAAAATTGGAAAAAGAAAATTAGGTATATGCCCTTTTAATATCTGCTTTTTTTCTTTAAAAAGAAACAATCCTGATTTTTCAATATATATATATATATATATATATATATATATATATATATATATATATATATATATATATATATATATATAGATAGATAGATAGATAGATATATATATATATATATATATATATATATATATATATATATATATATATATATATATATATATATATATATATATATATATATATATATATATATACTTATTTTGAAAAGCAAATTGTTCTGATTCCAAATTATCCTTGCTTACCTTATCATGTCTTAAACTGTCTCCAAAGACAGAAATGAAGGAATTGATATCAAGGCGTCTACAGTATTCAAACCTTCCGGAATCACCGAAATTGATAAACAGAAAATCTGGCGAAAATACAGTGTGCAAAACGTAGAGCTATTCATCTCAATGGAAATGTTCAAAAGATAAAGTGAGGCTTTTTATATTTTTTGTAGAAGTGGAAAACGGCTGTAAAAGATTTTCATCTACATGATAAACACTGACTCTTATTTAATTCCGAGCGAAGATTCATCAGACATTAAACTTAAGAAAATGGTCTTGTTTGTGACGTCACTGTAGAGATTGTCTATCATGTGTCAGTCAACTTTTTGCTGTTTTTTACCCACTGGTCAGTGCTTAACTTTCGTTAGATATTTCTCAAGAATCAATTCCGAGTTCCCAATTGAATTCTATTCAGCCTTTGTTTCAACATTTCAATACCCAATTGGAACTGGTTAATCATATACAGCATCGAATATGCTACAATTGCTCGATTAATTCAGTTCTTGGGTTAACAACCCCAACAAGATGTTTATCAAATGATAGTTTTTCAGAATGTTATACTAGTTACAGAAACTAAGCTCAAGATCGCTTAACGATATCAACTTAATTACGAAAACGTTTCAGGTGTTTTTTCTTCATTATAAACACAGCATCGCAGTCAAACACACTTGATTTAAGAAGAAAGGCAGAATATATTTCATTTCATCCTGAGTATTTGTGAGAGGGCATGCACCAGATATCTATAGTTCATTTCTAACCCGACTACTTGAATGTATGAAATAACTTTCTCATTTTACTGATTATTTTGATTTATTCAACTTCAAGGTCATTGTAAATCACACTCAATCAATGGACATTTAGAAAAGAAAAGCTGAATAAAACACTAACACTTCTTCATCAAAACAGTATAATATTATTATCTCGTTCTTTCTACTATGGATGACTTTATTCTCTCTTTGTATATAAAGTTCATTAAGAATTCATACTTGTTATCAGAATATCATCCTCCGGAAGTTTTTGGTCTTGTTGTATTCTTAAATAGCAAATCAATAATATTTAATTTTCTCCTGGTCTAAAAATCTCCTTGCTTTAAAACTGGATTTCCCGAAAGTGTAGCCTTTTTCCAATGCTAAATCGAAATTGACACTGTATAGGACAAAACAATAATAAGCTTATGTATTGTTTAAGATGGCTCCTGGTCCTTCGACTGTTTCAATAATTATCTCTTATACTTCTGTAGTTTAATCAAATGACTGAAATCTTACCCGAATTTCCTGCATTACAAGTGAGACTAGAGCCACATTTTAGACACTCAGAGTGTAAATATTTATTACTGCAGTTTTGCAGAATTTATTTGTCTAACACGAGAGTTTTCCCCTGGATATATATTACCATGATACCCATTTCATCATAGTGGGAAAAAATCTTTATAAAAGACGACTTTCACATTTACAAGTCATGCAGTCTTGCGGAGTCAAGAAAAAATTCTATATAAAAGACAACTTTCACATTTACAAGAGTCAGTCTTGCGGAGACAATCTTGGTGTAAGGTACTGTTTTCTCAACTTTATAGTGCAATATCTAACAAGTAAAGTCTTTTGTATTTTTTTTATTACGTTTTCATTGTTGTCATTATTGCCCTATACTATGCCAAAAAAGGAATGGTACAAAATTGTCCGAAAGCGTTTGAAGGTTTAGAATATTTACAGGTAAGCTAAGGAGGAAGTAGAAATCATAATGCTTGTTACACCAACCAAAGGGGGGGGGTGTCTTTTGCAAATGTGAAAGTCATTTATTATTAGTTTCCTTTGGTACTTTATAAATCACTAAAACATAAAGCTCATGTAAGTTACGTATTTTTTTTTCGATCTACCCTACCTGTATTGGATTCTTAATCTCCACAAAAATTCTTACAGAGAAAAATATATTGTCGGGTCAAGCAAATTATCTACCAAGCCCCTATCTTTACTCCTCACAAAACTGCTGTAAAGGAGAAACTTTAAGACATACTGTTCTACAGCATATTTTATTAGTTGTAGAAATCAAATTCTCAAAACCTCTGAAGAACTTTTAGAAAATTTAAAATAACCAAAGTTTTCAAAAGTAGGTAACATACGACTTTTCTACACTTTACTCAACCATTCCTCATGATAAATTGAGATGATGCTGGAGTTCCTAATTTACAACATTTATGTAGTCTTCGGAGACTAGATCTTCCAACAAACTGTTGTAAACTGTTGAAATAAGCACTAATTGTGCTCCTTTAGCCGATCTGTTTTTATATTCCAATGAAGTAGAATTTATTCAAGAACCTCTTAGAAGAAGAAAACACTTGTTGTGGCCTTCAACTCGACAATCAGATATATTGACGTCGATTTATCAATTAACATAGTCTTTTCCATTCATATGTTGACTCAATATATCACAGTGAACTCGAAATGAAAGACACCACAGAGTTACACATCGGTTTCATATTTGGATATTTTACTGACTGTAGACTATAAAGGCCAACTAACAACTGAATTGTATGACAAACAAGATGACTTTAGTTTTTCCATCGTCAACTTTCCTTATCTATGTAGCAATTTCCCACATCACATGTGTGCATATTGGGTTAACATCTCCCAACTTATTCAATACTCAAAATCATGCTCCGAGTACAATCAATTTTTAAACCGAGACAGACTATTAACAGATAAGTGGATGTTACAGGGATTTCAACCACCTCTTTTGAGGTAAGCTTTTCGTAAATTTTAAAGTTGTTTTAATGACTTAGTAAGCAATTATAACCTACCATTGAGTCATATTTGAGTCGTCTTTTGGCTGACGTTTTTCATACCAATTGTAAGGCCTTTGTTTTTATATTAAATTTGACTAAGGAATTATCCTCTATATGATCAACACTTGGGACTCACGGCGTATGTGACCAGTCGACAGGGGATGCTTGCTCCTCCTAGACACCTGGTCCCACCTCTGGAATTTCTTTGGGTCTTTTTTTTGTTTTGTGCCCTGTTGGCAGATTTGAATTATTTCTACATTTTTTTTTTTGAGATCGATCACTGTTCATTATCTTCATTTTATATATATATATATATATATATATATATATATATATATATATATATATATATATATATATATATATATATATATATATATATATATATATATATATATATATATATACTTTTTCTCGAAAGTCAAATCATATCTTTATTAATCCTAAGCCCAACAAACAATGCTTGTTCATCTGAATATGTATCTTAATTAGACATATTTAAGACGTTGTATTCCATAAATCTGCGAAAATTTCGATTTACATACATAGAAAACATATTTATTTTACGAGTGCCATTTTCGTTTAAGTCAATTTTTAGTGATTGTGAAAATTGTAAAGCAGAAATCATCATTAAAAAAAAAAAAAAAAAAAAAAAAAAAAAAAAAAGAACCAGAAAATGAGAACACGTATATTGTTCACAGAAATTCATTCAGGTATGCATAGAATTACAATACGTTTTTTACCTATTTTTCAAAAGAGTGGCACATAGTGCATTCCAGGTCTTTTGATAAACTTTTATACTATTTAAGTCTTTGACACAAAAAGTTTGTGTACTGGATGCCTCGAAATTAATAATATTTATCCAGTAAGAGTGATATATGTCAGAGCTTTAACCATAGTTTTACTAACATCACATCTTCACAAATTTGCAAAATTACGAATCAATCCTATTTGAAGAAGGAAATAATATGCCTAACCGTTGTTACTATGTTATCTTAAGCGACAATTTAAAAACATATTTAATTTTATCGGAATTAAACATCAAAATTCAAATAAACCAGGGCATGAATAATTTTCGATTTTAAGAGAAATAGGGGATTGTGTTGAATATAAAATGCAAAACCTTTCTTACCTGACCATCCATAAAAACATCCCAAGAATCAAGGAGTATGACTATGCCATATAGTTATTTCAGAATACAAGGTTGTAAAACATCATAGAGCTTTACTCCAACTTTACATACAATGGTTGTCTATTGATTCAGGACCTTTTATATACCCACGGCCGAACTTCGAATTCAATGCACTACCAGATGCATCATTACAGAGCCTGTGTATAACACGAGTCATAAAACAAGACTTATTCATTTATTTTCTCAGTCGAGTATTTGCTTTTTTCCTGTAGATGCTCGAACTGTGTTTGTTATAGCACTCATCGTAATTAAAACTATTAATGGTGAAAAAGGAATGCTTTCGAGACCATGATTATGAAATTAGGGAAACAGATGTCACTCTTTACGGGATTTCCTAGATTTATCAGATCTATTTCTGAAATGATATCGGAAATGACCCGGATGACCACCGTCATCATTGATTTTTTCGGGTTCTCTTCATTTTAATTTGATAACTGTTTTATCACAAAAACAGATAATGACATACAATATCAATTAGGTCTCTTAATCCTTTGGATAGGAACGTTGTACTTAATATTACTGCAGATCTTTTTTTTTTTTTGATTGGAAAAAGTATAAGAATTTCAAAATATATATGTACATCTAATCCGATTTTTGAAAGGAAGTTACTCGAGGGAAATATGGATTTCGGATTGCTTAAATGGATTTGTAATACAAGAAATAATTTAGGTGTTGTAAAATGAACAAGTATATATAATAGATAATTTTGGTACGCATCGAACAACAGATTTAGATATGTATCAAAATATATGATCGATACTTAACTAATGCAATGTCTTAATATTCAGGGGAAAAAATGAAACAAAATAGATACTGTTTATTGGTTCATGTTAGCTATTGTATAACTTCGCTAATTTTTATTCCCTGTGCTTCTCATGAATGCGTTTAAATTTGTTTAAATTTTCAGTTTTTCTTCAAAGTGTATGTAATGACCTTTTAAGATTTCATTCTATTCACAGTTTCTTGAATTTGCAACTTTAAAGGGAGCGCGAATATAGCAAACGTTTACAATGCAGATTATTTCTTCCCTATATAGTGACTTAATCTGAAATACCAACGTATCAACATATTACACTCAATAGTTAAAAAATGATTTAAAATATAGAATTCTTTCTTTTAATCAGAACTTTAAAATACATTTAAAGCAAGATGTGTGACACATACCCCGTTGTTACCACTGCTATACTTGAGACTGATTGATTGATCGATTGATTGATTTATTATTTATTTATTTATTATTGCGGAGA